TCGTAGCAACCGTTTTGTCTGTATCGTTGGTTGCTTTATGTGTTTGGATTCGCTGATTGTAGTATATCCCGTGTCCTTAGTTTAGTGCATCTCGTATTACTCCATCGTTACGGGGCACGCTATTCCCGATTTCTTAAAGCGTTTCAAACTTCTAACAACTTCTTCCGGTTCCCGAACTTTCTTTCGCTTTTATGTTTATGCACCTGTAGATGGTTGTTTCTTGAACGAAGGTTTATTTTAGACAAATGAAAATTTGCTAGGTTAAATAGTTATATAAGCTCTTCAGTAAGTAACTTGCCATCGTGAATCTAGGCAATTGTATCATGAATGATGGGGGTACTGTCAAAATCTTGATTCCTGAAATTGCTAAAAATTATGTTAGCATCAGGGTGCTAGTGTTAAAATATGCTTAGCTGATTATTCATTTCATACCATAATGATTTACGATTCAATAATGTTCATGCCAATTGACGTGTTGCAAAATACTGCTCAACTGTACAGCGCTGTGGTGGTGGCTTCAGCAACCCTCTTTCTTGGCAGAGGATTGGACGTGCATACCGAAACGTCAGTGGTTGCGACGTTAGCCACACGGACTGAATTATAACCTTGGGATTCTTTGGAATTTGAAGGATGGTTGCCCCCAGCAACCGCTGCGACCGTTGCAGTGTTATCCTTCTCCGACTTGAAGCAAACCAGGGTATGGTGACGGTTTTTGCAGATCCGACAAGAAAATTTGGATTGGCAATCCTTTGCCTGATGCCCCGATCGGAAGCAATTTCGGCAAAGTCTGTGAGATTTCAGTAGAGAATCCCGATCCGCCACAGACAATTTTTGGAATGCGGAACATTGGTATAGAAGGTGGTTGTCCTTACAAGCCACCAGTGTTGGTAAAATTAGAAATCAATTGATATTTTTCCGCTCTCATGCGCTCGCAATATCACGCGTGATATTGGAACAAAATATCATGCTTGATATTGATTTTACAAGCTCCTTTGATATTGCGAGACTATTCACAACGTGCAAAAATCAAGCTGAGAGTTGACTCGACACAAAAATGATTCCATTGCACATCGTTTTCTTAAAGAGAGAAAAAAGCATAGTTTGCTATCTCTTTTTAATCTTCACCGATGGCAGACGCGAAGGAACTGCTGCAAGCCGTTATGGAAGTTTCGGTTGCATTCGGGTGTAAAGCAAAAATCATTAAACTCAATCTCACCACAGTTTGGTGAGATTTGCAGTTGGTGAGTTTTGTTAGCTTGATATTCCGAGCTGCGATATCACAGCTTGCAAAATAAACCGGAGTTGCTTGCTTGTAGATTTTTGTCTACGAAAATCAAGCGTGATCTTGGGCGTTGGTGAGATTTGATTTTTTTTTATATTTTCCCAATACTGCAAGCCACACATCCATTTCCTTTTTGGGCGAATATTCTTCCCATGCTCGACGAGTTGATGGATCCAGTCGTATCGTGAGCAGATTCACCAAGAGGAGATCCTTGTACTCAGCAGGTTCCACGATTTGATCTAGCGTTTGGATGACTCCGTCAAAACCTTCCACCAGAGTACGCAACTCAACAACAGATCCCTTGGAGAGAGTCGGAAGCTTGAAGAAAGATTGGACCTGCTTCTTCTTCAACAGCTTGTTGTTGTTGTACCTCTTTACCAGAGTATCTCAAGCTATCTGGTAATTCACCTCGGTAATTTTCAGCGGATCGATCAGGCTTTTCGGTTCACCTTGAAGACACTCCTTCAAATAATGAAACTTCTCCACCTCTGGTAAATCGGTCCTCCAGTGAATGAGCGAGGTGAAGAGGTCTCGGAAGCTCAACCAGTCATCGATGTCACCGTTGTATGATTGGAGTTTGATCTGCGGTAACCGGACATGATCAAAAACACCTGACATTGAACGTTCATGGACAGACTGTTCCAATACTAGCGAAACACGAAGCTCCTTGCTCTTGTCCAATAACATGGTTTTTGCCTCAGAATAACGGTCGCTCGAATACTTGCGTAGCTTCCCATAGTAGTTCTCCTCATCCTCAAACTCTTCGTGAGATTTAAGCTAGACGAAATTCTCGCTAAATCTCTCCCACAAATCATCGATCCGTTCCAACCGAACTACCTGCGTACTGGGGGTTTCACCACAAATATTTTGAACAAAAGACCAAATATCATCAAACGAAGATTTCAAGTCGTCCAATTGAACCTTCAGTTAATTCCGGGTGGTGGGTGGCATTTTGATGTGATGTCGAGTAATCGGTAAAGAAATTGGAGGTGTAATATACCGCGTGTAGTCTCCGCTTCGGCGGACATATACTGCTCGTTATTACTGACCTGGCAGAACAGGTAACTCCAAATACGAACCAAAGTAGCAAAAGGTCCGATGACATCACATCAATCTTGCCTCGGTAGGGATCACTCAATTTTAGGTTGAAGTTCACAGAAGAGGAGAATTCGGGGTGTAATATCCAGAGAAACCTAAGCCTCGGCTGGGCATATACTGTGGCCTACCTACCTAACCTACCTGTAGGTTCCAACAGCAGTACCAATCCAAAGTTATCAAAATTCCACACCAAATTGATATAAATGTTGCTTTGATCGCGGACAATGTGAACTCCAGAACGTGTGTGTGCAGGATGTAGTGCGAAGAGGAATAATGGCTATGTAGCAATCGTATGGCTAGCTTCAGTAGGACATATACCGTGCAACTAACCTGGAGGACTAACAGCTTCACCAACCAGAACGAAAAACCAGTCGAGATTGCAAATTGGGGTTTATCAGCAGATTTGCTCTAACGAGCAGTTCAACTGCAGGGCTTGCGTGGCATTAATTGAAGAGGATGTACGGGAATTTCAATTAAAAATGGTGTATTTCTGTATGCTAAACTCGGCAGTGACTTATACAATAAAGTTAACTCACCGGGGAGGGAGTAAATGGCTCTTCTGCCACCGTCCGTAGCAATCGTCCTTTACAGCGAAAACCAGGGTCGACGACTTATGCGGGATGCACAATCGTTCCTTTGCTGAACCGTCTGTTGTAATCAGCTTGAATAACGTCGTCAGTTTTCCGTATCACCGAAGATTTCTCCGTTCCATGTAACGAATCCAATAGCATGCATCGAAAGGATGGCGTTAGTATAATGTAAGAAATGCTTCGGCTAGACACACATCGAACTTATGAATATTTATCGATGTTCGATTCGATGTTCTAGCGTAGCTACGGATGACCAAGGGTTGATCCGAATTCAGCCAAATTTCTCTGCATGCACTAATGGTCCTCGAAAATCTCCACAGCATTCACAGGTATCCACCGGTTTCACTCAAAGGATTCCAAATTCAAAAATGGGTCCAATATTCATCTACTTTCCTAAGCGGCGATGGCGCAATTTGTTCACAATCACAATGATTATCCTATTATTCGCCGGTTGGCAATGGCGATCCTTCAAAGGAGCCTTGGATCCACGATGGCGATGCGCCAATTATGTCTTACGTCGCCAAAGGTGATTTCGCGGGGATAAAATGGTGCTCACTTGGCACTGTTGGTTTCGGTGTGGCGCAATTGCGTCCAACTGGTCCCCGGGTTAGGTATCCGGTTCGAAGGACCAAAATGTTGGCTAGCCGGCTTACCTCCTTTGATGTGTGGTGGCAGTGGAGCACCCGTGCCGACTCCAACACTGCTTGAGCACTCTGTTCTAGTTGGTGTTTCATTTGGGGTGAAATGGGGTGCGGAATTCCTGGGAGTATTCTTCTTCTCCATAGACACAAAAAGGACACTTGCGGATTGGCCAAACACTAGTCTACAGAAACTACATTTATTCCACAACTAACACAATTTACTTTTCACAAACACACTTAATGCTAACAATTTAAATATTCTTCATCCCCGATGGAAGCATAAACCGTTTCCAACGGCTACTGAAACCAACTGATCTCCCGTCTCCCGATCTGGTCATCGCTTGACCTATGGTCGCCTAGTCCAAATCTCCCTCTCGCGCTGTGCATCGGTTCGGTCCAACTTCGCACTCGTCGTTCGATCATCTCATCTGCTGCTCTCGATGTTGCGACCGTAGGTACGATGATCGCTGCCGAGATGGAAAATGACTGGTGGGTAGGAACTCACGGTCTCCCAGTGTTGGTGAGTTCTTTGCCGTTAATGTTCACGAAAAGTTCACTATTTTGCCATACAGAAATTCAAAACAAAAATTTTTATGGACGGATTTGGACAGTTTTTGACCTGTTTCATACGACCGGTAGATGTATGCTGGTCACAAATGCCGTGCCAAACTGATTTCTTACGCAATTAATCAACTATTGATGTGAATTTCGCTAATAAACACGAGGAGAATTTCTTATAGCAAAACTTGCCATAACAAAATGGGCAGTTCATTTTAGTAAACAAACTAATACTTCTTCCTTGTGTGTCACCTTTCATTCAGCTCCTATGTAGGATCGCTACTATCCCTTACGTGTGGACAATAGACGCATCTCGACTTGTAGTATAATCGCTTTGTTGGCTGCAGATCAGCTGTAGCAGCGACGGCGATAAGTCTCCAGGGTTGTAGTTTTATGAGGGTCTTACTCTCGTACATAGGTAATACATAAATAGATAGATTATTACAATCGGCAAACATCTACCAAACCTTAAGACTCGGTGTTCGGTTGGGTAGTATGTGGTGGCTGTTCAACTCCTATCAATTCTCTACAAGTCAACTGCCATTTCTCAACGTCCGAGGACTTGGAAAAGTTGATGGCACGTTTCTGGTCGTGCGAGGAGGTGGAATTCACGGACGCTTATTCTCTGAAGGAGAAAAAGTGTGAAGAATTATTTCAACGTGGAGTTCAAAGAGGTCCAGAAGGTCGTTATACTGTTCCCCTACCCAAAATCGAAGAAGTTCTTCCAAACCTGGGCGAGTCACGGGACATCGCATTCCAACGTCTTCTCGGAACGGAACGGAACGAAGATTGGCAAGGGACGCCAACTTACGGGAACAATACATCGGATTCATGGACGAGTACCTGAAACTGGGACACATGCGCAAGGTCGAAGAAACTACGGAGGGACCGGTCAAACGGTGTTATCTTCTCCATCACCCGGTGGTCAAGGAGGCGAGTACCACCACCAAGGTCAGAGTAGTCTTCGACGCCTCGTGTAAAACGTCATCCGGAGTGTCCTTAAACGATGTGCTTCTGGTAGCGCCCGTTGTGCAGGAAGATTTGAGGTCAATTATCCTACGCAGTCGGATGAAGAAGATTTACCTCGTATCGGACGTCGAGAAGATGTTCCGACAAATCCTTACGTGGCTCAAGGATCGATCACTCCAGTCCGTATTATTTCGCTTTTCTCCGGACGAGGAGGTCGCAGTGTACGAACTGAACACCGTTACGTATGGAACCAAACCCACACCATTCCTGGCAACACAAACTCTCCGACAGCTGGCTGCTGACGAAGAAGACCGATTTCCGCTCGTGGCAAGAGCAATTCGTGAGGACGTCTATATGGATGACGTCATCACCGGTACGGACGAGGTGGATGCAGCTATCAGTCTCATAAACCAGTTGACCGAGATGATGCTGTGTGGTGGTTTCAAGCTCCGAAAGTGGGCTTGTAATGTTCCCGGAGTTCTGGAAGGTGTACCCGAAGAAAACCTGGCTCTTCGAGACCCTAAAGAAATCAACCTGGATTCTGATCAATCCGTCAAAACGTTAGGACTAACGTGGATGCCTATTACTGATACCCTTCGATTCCAGTTCACAGTTCCTCCGATAGAACCTGGTGTCCCGTTGACGAAGCGTCGAATATTGCCACTAATCGCAACGTTGTTCGATCCGCTTGGATTGATTGGTGCCACGACATCGTCTGCCAAAATCTTCATGCAGCAGCTTTGGACGTTGCAAGACGAGACCGGCAATCGGTTGGACTGGGATCAACCAATACCTTTGATGGTGGGTGAGAATTGGCGGAAATTTTACCAAAAACTCCCATTGTTGAATGAAATTCGAGTCGATCGCTGTGTCATCATTCCCAAGGCAGTACTAGTGGAAATACAAGGCTTTTCAGACGCTTCGAATAAGGCCTATGGTGGTTGCGTCTACATAAGAAGTCAGGATTCCAGTGGAACAATCAAGGTTCGACTCTTATCATCCCGATCCAAGGTGGCTCCAATCAGTTGCCAGTCTATCCCACGATTAGAGCTCTGTGGTGCGCGGGTTCGATTCCCGGTCCGGTCGAGGGAATCTTTCGGGTTGGAAATTTTCTCGACTTCCCTGGGCATAGAGTATCATTGTGCTTGCCACACAATATACAAATTCATGCATTGGTATTGGCATCAAAAGCTCTCAATTAATAACTGTGGAAGTGCATTTAGAACACTAAGTTGAGAGCACGCAATAAGCTAATATGCGCTAAGCAATAAGCTTGAAATGCGAACAAGAAGAAGAAGAAGAAGAAGAAGAAGAAGAAGAAGAAGGTGCGCTATTATCGGCCCAGTTTTACGAAAAGGTCAAGGATTCTACTCGGTTAGCGGTTCAGACTTTCTTCTGGACAGATTCAACATGTGTGCTGCGTTGGATCGGATCTACGCCAGCAACATGGACCACGTTCTTTCCCAAAAGGGTGCCAAAAATTCAAAATGTTGGATATCCGGCTTACCTCCTTCGATGTGTAATGGCAGTGGAGCATCCGTGCCGACTCCAACACTGTTGTTGTTGGTGTTTCCTTTGGGTTGCGGGGAATCCAAAAATGTAGCTCGTATGGGTTGTATTCCACAGGGATAATTCCAGCGAGTATTATTCCTTCCAAACACAACACTCGCGGGTTGGTGAAACACAGTTTACAAAAACTACATTTATTCACAATTACTACACAATTTACTGTTCACAAACAAACTCAAGCTAATAAATTTAAATATTCATACCCGATGCGATATCCAACCGTCCTATCCGGTGACCGAAACCAACTAATCTCCCGTCTCCCGATCTGGTCATCGCTTGACCTATGGTCGCCTAGCCCTTATCCCCCTCTCGCGCTGTACGACTATCGGTAATTCACTCTCTCGGGTCCTGCTACTATCGATCCCAGATGATGACGATCGCCGCAATTCCCTACCTCGTATGGACATCTCATCTGGCGCTCTCCCGACCGATCGTAGGTAGATAATCCGGGGCAAAAGTAGGCACTTAACTCTTTTTTAGTATGTTAACTATTGAACGAAAGGCAAATATCATGCAACCAAGTTACCACGTATTGCCTTAATGTCTTACCTTTCAAATGTAGAACTGGAAATTACCAAAATATTTGTGTAAACAGTTTTTAAAAATAGTCAAATGCGTACTTTTGCCCCAAAAGGCAAAAGTACGCATTGTACGAGGCAAATGTACGCATTGAACAAATAATGTTTTTGTCGCAAATAATGGTTGTAACAAATAGTTTCTTGAGTACTGTACCTCCCTCTGGTCAACCAGGATTAGCGAGCTTCCAAAAACTACGTTTTCTTTTTAGGGGCAGAAGCGGGTAAAGTAATCTTTGAAATTCGACCACGTTTTCTCTGGATGGTTCCTGGGAAGTCGATATTTAAGGGGTCATACATAAAGTACGTGATTCACTTAGGGGGGGGGGGTCCAGAAATAACTAAAAATTCAAACACAAAGTCAATCTGAATTGTTTTATTGCATTTTATTGAAAACGAAAATCAAGAAGCTCATGTTAAAAATTCATCAAAATTAAAAGAGAATTCAGTATGCTTAGCAGAGGCTTACTTCTGCTTTTTTCCCTGATTGGCGCTGATTGCTAAATCCCTACAGGAATTCAATTATCACTGTTAAGATAATATCATTTGGTACTTGATTTTACTCACCTGTTTCAACCTTTTCCTCAATGCTCCTTCCGTTATTCCGAGATCCAGCGCAACATGCCGCTTCGAAATGCCATCCCGGACTCTTTGCTGAGCTGTTTCGAGCATCTGGGAAGTGCATTTCTGCCGACTGGTTTTGCGCTTGTAGTTCCTGTACGAAAACATAACCATTGCGACATCCTGTGTGTACTTTTGCCCCGCGCCTGCTGCGTACTTTTGCCCCACATGCAGTTTTATCAATGATTTGATTTATTACAAAACTTATGAAACTGTTTGAACGGAATGACTGCAGCTCTCAAACAATCATAGAGTAAAGATATTTTTAGCATTTTTATACCCATTTTTTTCTAAACTTTAAATGGTCAAAACATAATCCCCAAAATGTTGAAAATTAGATCAAAACTGCACAAAACACAAATTACTTTCACGCCACTACGTTAAAATCACGTATGTTTACACCTGTGATCAGCTCGTCGAATGATGTGTCGAACCCATACAGTGTGGCCAGGTTTTCATGTTCGAACATTTCAAAAAGGCCTATGCGTACTTTTGCCCCGAATTACTCTAATGGTGATGCTGTAGAATAGCCGTGGTTTGCTTCCTCGGTCTCGGTATTGTTTCCCTCAGCTATGCATCAAAACAGGGTTGTAGTTTCTGGGTGGTTCAGTCCCAAACAAGATAAGTGACCAATTTGAATCCTTTGATCAAAATCAGTATTAGGCAAACATGTGAATGAGGACAGTGAGCCAAATGTAGACAATAACTTTTTTTTATATATAGGGGAAATGGATGTTGGCCTAAAGCCCCTAATTTGGGCCCATACATACATTCAGCAATCGACTAAATTTTCAATAGCGATCAAAAATATCCATAAGTACCGTCCCAATGACGCGTTCATCAAGATAAAATTGATAAATAAATAGTGAATAAATATATATTTTGCCCCTTTTTCTCTTCAGTAGACATTAGCTAAGATGATCAAAATAACGACAAGATAAAAAAATATTTGAAAATACTTAATTATACTAAAGAGAGATTTAACAATACTTAATGAGTATTGGAACTAAAGTTTAGAGTGGGATACTCCTAGGTCAAACATCTATATATCAAACGGGGCATCATCCTTGATCTTCTGGCACGGAATCCTGTCTGATACCAAACAACTCTCAAATAAACAAACGAATGACCGTGCCAGTTTGAGAACTGGTTGCAACCCCTTCTGCACACGCTAGTTATATGCCAGGAAGGTAAATACCTCTGCCCACCTGCCACTTGCACTTTACAACGTGATTGCAGTGCAATCAACGGTTGTCATTGAATACCGAGAAAACCCATTGCTACGTTTCCAAAAGTTGTGTGACGTTCGAGTTAGCTTTCCCGTTGCTTTCCGTTTTGTATACTTGTCCAATCTATATTATACCTGTAGGTCAGTGCATGCGGAAAATTCAGTTGGTCTCAGTTGCGTTTCCAATTTATTTTAATTAACGTCAACTAACTTTATCTCTCATCGGCGAAAATAAGTCCCATGTTCTTTTTCTCAATGGCAGTACATTTTTTCCCTATAATGAAAGCAATTTAGGTTATCGAAATTTATCGAGGAATTCCGTGACACTGAAACTCGCAAGGTCTAAACAATTTTTCATTGAATATCTTTCTCTCATGATTAAAAATATAAATGATAGGTATGTCTAGTTCTAACATACCGCAACCTTTCCCGAATGAGCGCAATTTAATGATGTTTGGAATAAATTATCCTTCCTAATGTCTTTCCAACCGCGGTGCGGGTGGATGATTCCCGTTACCCTCTCTCCAATATCGGTTGAACATGCTAAGTTCAAGGACGCTCAAATTACTGTCCTGTTTTTGTAGGTACTCCGGAGCACGCAGAGTGGTGTCACGTCGTAGCGTGCACGCGGATCCATCGACTTTAATGACGTAAGGTAAGGCAGGTATCTCCTAGCTACGCAAATGAAGCGCGAGCATCCGAAAAACGCTTTTAGTGAACGTCGTTTTTCCACCATGTTTCCCTACAGTATATGGCTAGCTGATTTCCACTTGCCCTACCTGTCACCGACAGAAGCATACATGGCTGTAGAATCCGACTCAATTTTGAGTTCCATTTACTCAAATTCGCGAAGACGCTGGTTACTTATAGACTGAGTAATATTTGCTTGATTTTAAGGAAAATCGAGGAAAAGTTTACTCAATCTATCTGCCAATTTAGAATCGATACGCTTTCAATAGGATGTATTTCAGAATCTGTTTAGTTTAGAATAAAACGTTATTTGAAGAAAATGTTATGTATTTATTTTAGTTTAAAGTATCTCGAATGAATGTTCGAATGGGCTTTTTACCGTGCCATCAACTTTTACCCAAACTGCTGATCAACCTCACCGGCCAGACCATCAGCTTACCGGCAAACTTGTCCGCAAAACAAATTTATAATTCTTGGGACATCTCCGAGATCCCTGGCAACATAAAACTTCTGTTCCGGAAGCTGTTTGAAGTCCAATTTGACATACGTTTCATCGTCCATAAAGATGCATCCGTTGAATTTGGTCAGCACAAGCCGACATTGAAGAAGCCTTCCCGAATACGAATATTTCGTACTGCACTGTGAACAGCACCAAGTTTGTTGACCACATCCAAGTCCGATAATCCTGGATTTGGTTTGAAAGCTTTCATGGCGTTCTGACGCAGTTTCCGGGAAACAGACAAACGATCCTTGAAACGTTTCAGCACTGCACAGACGGCGGTTTTGGCAATTTCCAACTCCTTTGGGTTCCCCGTACCTAACCATGTCGGGTTTTCATATCTTGTGTGCAGAATTAATTCTCTTCTATTTCCTAATTCAAGAAAACAGAAACCTTTATTTTTAATTTTGCACAGAATTTTAACCACTAGGAGCGCTGCACCGGACAAAAGAAGCGTACAGATTCTAAATTGGCTGGGCTTAATGCTCATCGACTGATCCTCATATTCGAGCAGGCTTCTGGGGGGAAATAGCGAAAAATTTACTCAGGCTATGAGTGACCAGCGTTTTTGCGAAATTTAGTAAACGGAACTCAAATTTGCGTCGGATTCAACGGCCGT